GATCCAATTTTTAAAACCGGGTTTGAGGGGAGCAGGTGGTGCAGACTCAGGAGGCGTGGGTGTGACAGTGCCTACACTTCTTAAGGCAGCCACAATGCTTGTCACAATCGTACTTAAAGCCAAACTAAAAGCCGTCAAGATGCTCACAATCGTTACGACTTGTTCTCTAAAAAGTGTTCAGATCTTTTTTGCGTAAAGTAAGATTGCCATCCATCACCGCGTAAATCGTTGCTTTGATACGATTGATTTGAGTTCTAATCTGATCAGTGTTTCCATTAATAATTTCTACTCTGCCTTGCCTTTCCACTTTTAGATCGTTCAACTGTTGTTGAATTTCTGCATGCTCTCCTTCTGATTGCTCTTCCTCTAATTCATTTTGGACTTTTTCGTCCAACTCGTCCAATTTGCCTTGGTTTAATACGAGCTCTTTCTTTACCGTCTGTAACAATTGGTCCAATGCGACAAGTTCTCTATAGTTTAACCCTTCGGTTTGTGCCTCTTGATTGTGAGTGACGTCTTCTAAGATATCACTGACTTGATCAGCTTCTTGAGGGAGTTCTCTTAATGGAATGCTTTCGGAGTGAAGTTGTGAAAGTTTATGAAACACTTCTTGCACTTCTTGCTTGGTTTCACCGGAAACATAGTCTCTAAAACGCGGCTTATAAAATCTGTGTTTGTTTTACTCTTAATTGTGCTTAGACTAAGAAATCGATTATTATCTTGTTCTCGGGTCAAAAGAACCTTTGACATATAGACGATCTTTACCATCGAGATTAAAAATGTTTTTATCCCTAACTGTTGGTTTATACCCCGTTTCGTCTTCAATCGAGTCATAAAAGTCATTCATTTTATCTTCGACTAACACATTCATTTATCTGTCATGCAACCGCCGATTCTTGTTCCACAGGATCTCTATCAGCAACTAAATTATCATATCGATCATCAATGTCTAATTTTCTCCTATCCTGTCTTGATCATCTTCTCCATCATGAGTAAACAGTTCACATTCATCAAGGGGTACCTCTTCCGGGCCAAATCCACCTTCTACCATTTTATAATAAACCAGTTTTTAACTACTGAGCAAACTGGCAGGCAAGATACCTTGCGCCCCGAGCCAACCCTGGGTAGCTGACGCGCCACTGGCCACAGCAGTCATTGTGGCCAAGTCTTCTACCGATAGTCTGTCTAAATCAGGCGGTTTAATTTTTAGCAGTTTTTTAACGAGCATGGGATAACCTATGGAAATTACACTGATGACAGCACCATGATAAACCGTGTTGGCAATACTGTTTACATCTATAGCTTTACTAATTACGTTTTTATATATACAGTTTTTTAAATTACTACATATCTAAAATTTCTGGCACAGGTGCTGTTGTTTGATATGGTTTTGCTTTTACCGCAGACGGTGAGGTTTCCTTTTTAAAAAACAATGCGAGAGCGATTCCTCCGATCAACAGCCCGCCCAGAATCAAGTTTCTGTTGTCTGTGTAGATGTTACTTGCAGATTTTGCCTCGGGTTCAGGTTCACCGACTTTCAACCTGCAAGCTGTTGCTTCATCCTTTTATTATGTTCTGCAAGGCGTTTGCCCTGTTTGACTTCTTTTAGGATTCTTACTCTTGGTGACAGTCTGAACCTATGGCTTCACTGGACTCGGGGTGGTGGCGGTGGTAGTTCTGCTGCTGCTTCTGTTGACATCTTCTTCTATAATAGATAGATTTTTATTGATAGCCAAGTGTTTCGTTGTTATAAGCATTGCTACCAGTGGTGATAGGTATATAGCATACATGAAAAAAATCTTGCCGAGGAAATGACCTATGGATTGACCGATGATTGGTTCATCGTTTAAATCTTTGGTTAGATTTTCTCCTGATTTTAAATCTACATTAAATCCTAAAAAATCTACAGGGGTAGCTATGCCCAAAATCCATGCGTATAGACTCAAAAGCAAATTGCCTAAAGCTTTAAAAATCTCTTTGCCAAATCGAACCTCATAAAGATTAAACAGCCTTTCTTGTTCAGCTGGATTTAGTGATTTGATATCTTTCACAGAATAATCTTTTCTGAAATATTTTTTAGATTCACCCGAGACCACTACAGAGCAAAGCCTATCCTCGACGTTAGGTTTGGGTTCAGAAACTGGAGCTGATTCTGGTTTTCCATTCAAGATCGATTTGATGTCTTCCATTTTATTATACGGTTTTAATTTTGTTAAACACTAATTTAGCACGAAAATATTCGTAGGTGTAATACGTCAAGTTAATTGCAATAACTAACTCAATAACTACTTGAACGTATTGCAACATTGTTGTTTCTTTGATTTTTATCTATAGTCAAATTATAAATTTGTTAAACAACTAGTTTAATACCAAGTTGTAATTAGTTTAATAACAATTTGTAATTAGTTTATAAAAATGACCAGCTAAAAAGTAGCTCTGTCGCCAAAATCAGCTTGCTAAACTTTACGCCTCTTAGATGGCGTTTCAATCGATCCCGCTCTTGGTCAGGTACCACATCGTTTTCTTCTAAAGCCTGATCTAAGCTAACTTCGTCTTTGTAATAAAAAAAAGCAACCCAAGCTGTATTACTCCTGTAGTCTTTCAACACACGAGTGCAAGTAATGCCTTGAACTAAAAGCCATCTTGCTTAGCATACATGTGTTGCTATTCCTTGACTTTTTTCTATACTTGATATACTGATCGGCTGCACAGTCATCGATAATAAACAATGTAATCACACCGTCAAACACTTTTTGATATTCTAGTGCCTCATTCATTTCAAGTTTCTCCTTGTTGAGATCGCACAAATAGACATTTTCGTGAGTATTAATCCATAGACGGTCCAAATACGTTTTATTCTTAATCAAAGTTGGACATATAATTATAACTGCTTCACATACGAACCTGTATTCACTTTCTAATAAATCCAATATCCATTGGGTCTTTCCGGATCCTGTTTTTCCAACTATAAGAACACAATGTGGTGATTTATACATGCCCGTTTTATCTTAAACGAGATTTAATAAACCAGACTTTTAAAATCCCCATTTTCCACTGCCAATTGTGCATCCATGACCAAAAACACGTACATGTAAAGCGGCCTCGCAGTTTCAGCTTCCCGTTCCATTTGAATTGATATGCCTCTTCCTCCTCCCAAAAGTCTACCCAAACCATGAGCCGAGTTATCATCTGAACTTCTGAAATCTAGCCATTTAGCTTTCAAATAACCAGCCGTATCAATGCCGGTCAAATTTAGGTCTTTTACCACCGCCCTACACGACTCCGTATCTGAATCTACAAAAAACTTAAAGATTTCATTCCAATGTTGATACTCGAACAACCCTTGCGAAAACAGTTTGTTGGGTTTACCTTCCACTGTTACACTGGTTTTCTTAATGTGCGGATTGTAAAATTGTTGCAGGTTCTTTACTGTCGGATCTTTAAACAAGATCACAATACCTTTCAAGCTTTTAATCATTTGATCGATGTTTATATTCCACAACATGTCCGACTTGCTTTTTCCACAAGTGAATCCTGTCAAATAGATAGTACACGGGGTCCTTGTGCTTAGAATGCAAAGTTTGAGCCAAGTCGCGATTGGTTACGACTTCATACTCCAATGTTAGCTTCGAAATTGCATACTCTGCAGCCATGTCGGTTGATTTGACCACCTTGTCGTGCTTGTTAAACGTGAGTGAAAAGTGCACAAGTCAGTTTAAGTGGGTCAATGGCAAAAAGATAAAAACGGGTCCTCCTTTATATGAGAAGAGCTTCAAGTAGTGCGAGAAGACACCGAATTACCGCCTTCTTCTAATATGCGTTAATGGCTGTAAGCTAAGTATTGATGCCATTGGGTAATAAGTAACGCTTGGTGTCTCATGGAGAAAGGCTCAGTTTGTTTGACATATCGCAAATAATTTATGCCTGTCGGATCTAAACAACTGTTGTTTAAAAAATCCTTGACGCTGGTTTAACAGACAGTCTTTATAGGTGGCGTGCCAACTGTTTTTTTGTTATGACTTTGGTAATGCCTTTCGCTTTCTTTAAATTTACAGCTTCTGTTAAAATGAAATACATTTTTGGTCTTATGCAAATGGCTTCTGGCACTAATTACCTTCCAAATTCATCTTTCATTTTGCCAATCTGTTGGATCGTAAATTGGATGATCCAGAGGGCAGTTACTCAAGTCAAATTCTTGTTTGTTTTGATGGATATATTCATATATGTCGTCGGTTTCAATTTCTAACAATAAAGAATCTGTATCAGTATAGATCAGGTTTAATTTATCTCAGAAATGATGTTTCCACTTGTAATAAAATTCATACATTTGGATTTTGGATAAATCTAAAATACAAACGCCACAGTAAATAGGCTTGTTCAGCATTGTCTTGTCTTTAAACATTTCAATAAAGAAAGATCACAATCAAGGAACGCTGTCACAGTCTTAAAATTTGACAAGATAATTTTGTAAATTTATTTGTGTCTTTGTCTTGTAGTAAATGACCTTCAATATGACCACGCGCATCCATTAATTTGCCAAACACAGAATTGTTCATCAATTTGAAGAAGTCTTTTTCCAAATTGGATTCGGCCAGTTTGCACAATTCGACGTTTTTGTCAATGTAATCTTTCATCCATGCTTTCTGTTTAAATGACAGAACTCGGTGAACTTGATTCAATTCTAAACCAAGTTGTAAATACAATTGCAAATTTTGGTAATGTAATTTATATTTTTCTTTTGTACCTAAGGTAGCTACAAATTTATTTACCTAAGCAAGTTTTTCGTCATTTAGATCAAGCGATTGTTTTTGATACGCTGTTAACCATGCATTTGGTATCTGTATGTTCTCAGGAGGCAAAGGAAAATCGTTGTGTTCATCATGCAAATGTTGGGAATAAGGTTATTTCAAACAAGTAGCCAGTAGGACTGTAAGAGTCCAACCGTAAAATATCATCGCGAGTAAATTTCTCCAGTTCCCCGTTATGTTTTTCTCTGCCAGTTCATCTCTGGGGACCTCTTGCGTTAAGAGAGTGAGACAGAGCACGCGGCCAAGGCCTTCGTGGTCAGCATTTCTTCAAACGACGTCTCTCAGCATTGCCTGATACTCCGACAGTGGACGCACCATTCTTTCATTGCCTCCAAACAGATAGGTGCCAGGCTCTGGTCCAGTGACAGCATGAGTTGTGATGGCTCTATTGGAGGATGGGGGTAGAGGTGTGCCAACAGCAGGAGGCTCGAGCGTACTGATGGTGGTAGGGGCCGTTGTGCTGCTAATTCGAGGCACAGGTGTGACAGAACATTCTGAGCAATAGTAAATTTTCCACTTCGTTGATTTCGTCCTTCTTTGTTAAAAATCATTGTCCAACTGTTACCTGTGGCCATTACACGAGTGGCTTCTTGTGATTACTGGATCAATGGTGGAGCTACAAAGCCACTGGCCATGTCGGGTGCACTTGTGACCATGTACTATGCGTCCATTTTAACATATAAATCGTGGAAATTGTTTTACATTTGAACTTGTGAAAAATTTCTTGAGCTCGGCGATATTCTTCTTCAGATATATCTTCTTGCATAAAAAGCTTCTCATGGTGGTAAACAGGTTTCTTTAAATCTTTCAAAAGAGTCCATGTATTCGTATGGGTAAACACCTTTTTGTAAGTAATCGGTATTTTGAGGAAACTGCTTTTGAAGTAATTTAAATGCTTCTGATGGACAGGCCTTCACCGGCCAAGAAATTAAATGAATTTTAAAACTTGAGTCGACGTACAGAAAAAGAAATGTACTTTTCTGAATTTTTGGGAATGCAATGCAGTTTTTCATTTGTACTTGGAGATAAGCCTTGCATAATTAAATGCGCATCGTAATTTTCCAAATTATATAAAAAGACAGGAATTTCTGTTCTGTTTGTAATAATCTCAATTATAAGTTCCTCTGTATTTGCCTATAATATGACAATGATCTCAAACTTTTCTAAACGAATGAATGGGCTTTTGTTACACTATGCAAATATATTCTTGACAGCCATTGTTTTGATATTTGAAATTTCAACTTATCCGTTTTTGTCTTTGGTTCAGTTGGTTTTGGGCAATTACATTCATCTGACTTTGTGGGCCAAATTGGCTTTTTGCAAATCCAACATGTATTATTTTCTTGGTGCTGTTTGTGTAATTCAAAGTCCCATTGGATTATTTTTGGGTTCTCAAATAATTTGTTTATTGCCTGTTTATCTAACAGTAAAGATCTGACAAATGATTTTGCGGCATTAACCCCTCTATATGTCTGCTGTTTTATGCAAATGCCGTCACTGCAAATTATAAAATAGGCATAACCTGAAGCAATATGTCGATGCGTTCTAATTGTATTGCCTTCTTCTGGGGGGCATAGGTTCTAAAATGGATTCAAAATCGGCGTAAATAACAAATGGTGCTAATTGTTTATTTTATAGTCTCTCAACCAGAATTTTAATATATTGCCATCTTCTTCTGGTAGTACTATAGTAATTGGAACATCTGGTCCGAGACAATCTTCTTGATATTTGGCTAATCTTAAGCTACTTGTAAAATTAGATTGGCATTTATGGCATTCGTAAATGGCATGACCGTAACTACTCGCTAAATTTGAAATGAGTTTTGACCTGTTTTTAATCAAGCAATAAACAAATAATAACAGGCCTATATGTCTATCTTTCATAATATTTTTAGATGGATACAAAGTCAAAAATGTGCCTTGCCTTCTGTCATACCCATATAAATTAATAGACAAATTGTTCTGCGCTTTGATTTTTGGAATTTGATTCCTTGGTGTAGGAAAGTCTATGCCTGTGAAATCTAATTCACTTTGGATTGTAAGTTGTTGGTCTATCGCGTACTATTCTATAACTTGGGTCCTTTTAAATTTTACGTTTGACTTTGTCGAAATACAATCCTAGAGCTGCGCATATTGCCCATCGTATGTATTCACAATCTTCCTTTTTATATCTATTGCGGCTTTCTTATTTTCAATGTATTCGGGCAACTTGATGTAAGTACCGCCTAGAGGATCATATCGTATCACGTTGATAAAAAAAGCTATAATTTCATCGAGTATCCAACCAGAACCACTGTGGACATATTTATCAATTCTATCTAAAAGCTTTTGTTTTTGTTCTTCCAACTTGTTAACATCTGATTCTAAATGCACCGTTGTAATGTTTGACCAAAAAGTAAAGACAGCTTTTTGTTCTGGCCGTTCCTTTTTAAATTGGACTTTAATCGCTGTTTGTAATCTGTAAGTACCTATTTCCTTGAATTGTTTCAATGCCAATTTCTGGATGTCTTTCTTATGCATAATAAAAAATTGAACTGCATCGCCATTAAAAAATGTGGTATTAATTTCCAATTTCGGAAGTTGCCTTTATGTATTTTAACGTTCTGTATGTCTTATTCTCGAAATAATTCTGAAATAATAACAGCTTTACTTGTGCGATTAAATCTTTTCTCAAGATTCCCCCTGCCTACCCGTGGCAACTGGACCTAAATTAATGTCATCTGCTAATTGTCGTAACACGATAATAGATTTGCGAGATAAATTTTGAAATTGCTTTGAATAATATCTCACTGCTTGTATTAATTCCTTGCGCTTGTATAAGACCAAAGGGCGGCGCAGTTGAGGCAATGTAATATTGTGATTAGCGATATACTTCAATACTGATGATTTATTCCATGAATTATAGCCATAGAGATTGTGTTTATAATGTAATCTGATATTACGTAACATGTTTTCATTTGATGGCATTCTTATTCATATAAAATACTTTTATATAATAATTGAGAATTTATATCATTTTTATTGACGCTTCTACTCTTTGGGGTAGAAATGCTAAATTTACTTCCATTTTGGAATTTCATCATATTTTGGAATTTCATAATATTTTGTAATTTGTATTGTGACAGAACCCTTTATACTTGGTGGTACACAGATCTGTTGCTTTGCAAGGTTTGGAGAATCTTACTGTATTAGATATAGGCACATAGTCCTATGTGCACTGCCCTAGATAGCTGACACACTTCCTGGCAGATGTTATACATTTTGCACTCAGTCCAACTCTTTATGGACAAGGTGGGATCACAAGTAGGTATGGAGCTTTTCATGGTTAGAAGAAGAATGCTGTAAAATCTGCACTCCAGAAAGCTGCCACAGATCCCCACAAATCTGCACCAGTTTGCATTCAATTGCCCACCTTTTCTTGCAATTATGACAGTTGAAAATTGAAGGTTTCACAAAAGAATGGATTCTGAAGAGGATTCTCGCACTAATTATTCATAAGGTGGGCCAATCAGAGTTACTGTGCACTAACTGGTAGCCAATCACAGTCCATTGTTTTAGCCAATCAGGCAAGGGGGTCAGATTACTTCTGTCAGGCAATGCTAGTTTAGGAGGGAAATTCTCATGTGAGGATCATTCTGTCACAGCTCATTGGGCAACCGGGGTCAATTTGCCCACCACCACCCCAGCACCTGCCTTTTTGAAGAATATTTGGTTTTAGTGGCATTTTTTAACAGGATTCGAAGATAGCCACTTCCTAATACATACAAGATGTGATATGCATCTTTACTGTTATGATACATTGTACATGTGTGTACCAATAAAGTTATTGTTGACATTGATGTTTGCCATAATACACTGTAATTTGTAAGGGGTCAGCCCCACCCTTTTATGTACCCAAGGGGGTGGGGTGCTGTATGTACCATGGCACAACTAGTGCTGACCCTAAAAGGTTGGATGGATCATTCTATTATTTCATGATTGTTCCTGGGAGCCCATTAATTTATGATTGACTTGTAAGCCAAATGACGATAGATGTACTGGTACATATACATCGGACTTGGGAGTCCTTCGTTTGTTTGATGTATGTTTTGGGGCCTACCAGCCCATATGACTGATGCCAGCTTGCCCAAAACAGATTTGGTATCTGGCAAAATAATAAATATTAGATGCTGTGGCAAGAGTCAGGAAAATAATTTGTCTGGAAGTTTGTTCCTTTGTGAGTCCATGGATAATTAACAATTGATGCTATAAAACGTTGGCTCTCTCCAAGTCACTGGCAGGGCAAAATGCATGCATTTCCTCTTCCTGTGTAACCACTGGTAAAGATTGCTGCACAAATATTGCAGCATACATGTGCATGTACTTGAGGGGTCCAGTTTTTGCAGCAAAAACATTGGTACGAGTACATCTGTAATACAGGCAATAACACGAAACAATGAGCCAGTTTGGTATTCCAAATGCACATGCCTAGTACAAGGTTATTCAGGAACAGCTACACGTGCGAGCACTTTTCTGTCCCATCAGCACAGCCATATGTTGACTCACGTGCACACTTTGTTCCCAAAAGGCCTTGGCTATTTGAAATACCAGTAAAGAACTGGCTCATTTGTGCCATGTATGATTCAATCCCAGATTTCAATCGCATCATTCATTATCGTTGCCAAAAATAATTTTCTTATCTAAGAAAACCATTCTTGGAAATAGAAAATTAATCTTGTAGAAAATAGGTGTAAGAAAAATTTCTTGAAATATTGAGCAATTAATACAATGAGAAAAATGTTCTTCTTTTCAGAAAAATATCTGCTTATGCAAGAAAGCAATTCTTGGGAAAAAATTAAATCTTGTTTAAAGAGAATATTGAAGAAAATAAATTTTCGCAAGAAAGTATTTTTCGAAATATTAAGCATTTGATACTACAATTATATGATTACTCTTTTAAGAAAATTACACTTTTTTGTAACATTTTTTCTTTGAATAAGAATCTTACCTCAAGAACCTTCAGTCAGAATAGAGGGTGGTGTTTGGTGCTGCTTGTTCAGTTGACAAGGGTAAAGGTATGTTCAGAAGTTATGTTCACTCCATGTTTGACTTTAGTTGCCATAGATTTAGATTGGCTAGTTTTTGAACCTAACTGTTTCAGATTTTTCAGGATTGGAAAGATTAAAAATTGTACAAGATTCAGATCTGCTGTTTCAAAAATTGCAAATGTATGTATGTTTTATCCATGCAAGCTTCACTAGGCATGTCTAAAAGAACACATGCTCTTGTTGACGGCTGCACACTAAATGTGATAAATGATACAAATCTACACTTCGGAACTGTCGTGAATAGAAGAATAAAAGAAAAGCATAGTGCTAAAAGTAGGTTTTGAAATTTAAAGTTTGCTTTCAACATATTCACGTTTTAAAATTGTTATCCATGTGGAATGCATGGTGAAACGATTCAAATCAAATGTCACAAAGTCAGTGCATAGTGCTATACTTTCTAATTTATGTTTTGGCCAGCCTTGTTAAATAATGAGTTTGTCAAATGACTTTATTTTCATGTTTGTTTTCCACAACACGAATGAGCCACACCATATTTCAAGCAGCTTTTAAGCACATAATTTCTAGAAACAGACCATACCGTACACTATGCAACCATGTTAATTTGAAACCAAACAATGGCTGAGCTAAACTTGAAATGAAATACATTTGTTCCATATTTGTCAGAATTTGTTGTTAAATACTTGAAATTTAATCCTTATGTGAAAATTTAAAAGTCTGCACATCTTTATGAAATCAACTGTCTTCAGAAAAGATTGTTCCATATCAGAGAAAATCTATTTTCCACCAAGAATTCTTACATCGGTATAATTTAACATTTTTACTCAAACTCCTGAAAGAAAGGAAAACAAACGAGGTCATTTTATTTTGTGTGTGTGTCTCTCGCCACAGCTTCAATTTTAATCAACGTTTAACTTTTCATCCGGAATACCAATACCACAGATTTAGGGCAAACAGGATTAAGAAGTCAAGCAATCTCAACAAAGATCACTATAGGCGGTAGCCATGACCACCAACATATCAACAGTGGTTGTGATACCCAAGACCACAACTCAGATATAGTGATACCCAATGATCACTATTCACCAACACACCAACGGCCGTTGTGTAATTATATTAGAGCAAACAATAAAAACGTAACAGAACTATTAAGGTGCACAGCACATGCAAGATTTTGGGCACCTGCCTAAACTAATGAAGCTTTACAAAATCACATGGCAAATGTGGTAAACTCTAGTACCCTCCACTGGCAGATGTAGAGGGGAATCTGCCCATGTGGCACATCACGGGGAACAAAACGATTGAGTGACAAAAAGTATGGAATAATGGAGCTTGACCTCTTCTGGGGCTGCAAATTGCCACTCGCGAGTAACGCGACCCACAGAAGAACGAGCCTTGCCCTCAAACGTGAAAGTTACAGCAAGGACAAAATGCAACAGCAGAGATTATGGCGAAAAATGGCATTTCCATCCGGAGAGAGATGGAACCTGTCCCTGCGATAAAGGTTTGCAGGTGGCCAATGACATTGGGGGTGCTCCAACACACTGATCCCTAGATTACGACATTACGACTGTGCCCAGTGGTTCATTGCCCGCCTTCCATGCTCCATTTATTTTTGGGACGGAGTACCATAATAAAAGAGCCGCGGCAATATGTATGACCAAACCAAATTTGCATTCGTAAACCTCTCCCTGCATTTCCCCAGCATTATAGCCAGCGTCTGCTGGAGAGCAAAAAAGTTGAGCTGCACTAAATCATTGGTCCCAATGTGAACGACGATGATGCACGCTTCCCTAATGGTGTTCAACAATTGTGGTAATTGCTCCACTCCTTCTCCACCATTGAACAGGAAATGGGACACCCATGTTATTGGCTGCCCATCGAATCAGTGAGTCTCCGACAATCCCGGCACACTCTCACACACGCAGGGCCAGACTTAAAAACCAAATACATGGACATAGCTTAAATGCTCAACAAGCTTTGAAGTTTGCACGTGTTATGCACATGTTACGTTGGAATGCCACGTGAATGTACCTGTGCATGTGCATGGGTTCCTGCTATATATATGTAAAGAACATTGCTTTTCGGGATTTCTCGTGGATTGGACAGCAGTTGGAGAGTCCTGCTTCTTTTCCACACATTCTTATTTAGTTCTGTAGCCCTTTAAGCTGACTCTGATTATTATTTAGATAGCTGTCATAAATAACCTTGCATGAGAATTCGCATGTTTTTTTGTAATGGTGTTATTGTAGTTTAGTATTTAGTGACGTGGTTTATGTTTTTACTGTTCTAGTTGACCGCATGCATGTTCGTGGATGGGAGTCACAAGGAATAAAGGCCAAAAGTGACAAACCATAGACCTGTATGTGTCCAACTTGACCCAATTCTTGCCTGCAAATCCCACTGGGAATTTACAGGGTCTGCTCCCCCATTGAACTTGTACTGACAACTGACACCTGCAACGTATGCAGTAATTTGTGCTGGGGAATATTGCTGGATGGACAGCCACGCAATGAATTCACCTATGCACTGTGGGTCATTGACTGGAGTACTAGTCCTGGATTGGAGAAAACGGTGAAAAGCATTCCACCCTGATGTGTAAGCTTTATGTGTGTTGCGAGTCAAAGCAAGCTGCATTAACCTATGCATTTCAAACCCTACTAAATTTGGGGAAGTGGTGGAAGAGGAGTCATCTCTGGCTCGGCCTGCGGGACTAAAGTGAAGAAGCGCTCCATCTGAAAACGAGATAAGGCACCAGCTTTGTCATTGAATATGCCTGGAATGTGGGAGGCTTTGAATACGATATTAAACTTCAAACACTCCAAGACCAGTAAGCGAATCAGGTGCATAGCCTCAACTCCCTGGGCAGTTTGACCGTGAATCATATGAACAACCAAAATGTTATAAGACTGGATGATAACTTTGCGATTGGCAAGAAGAGGACCTCATGCCAGCACAGCAACGATTAAAGGGTAAAGTTCTAAGAGGGCAATAGGAGGGGGCGAGGCCCTCCATTGCGGCCACTGACTCTGCAACCACTTTCCCCCGAAATTTCCCCAAAGCCTAGAACATCCCATGGGAAGACACTTGTCAAAGTAATATTGATTCTCAAATGAAAAACCAACTCATAATCTTGCGGCAATATTGGCAACAGACAAAATGCCAACTTTGTTAACCAAGTGCCCTTTCCCACCAGAAGAGCTAACGCTACTCTTGTATCGAACGAGGCGTACCTAACCTTACAATGCTCCTCATCAATTAAATCGTTAATCAAAGCACTAGAAGGGAAGGAAAGATGGTGTATCAATCTGTAAGTACCTGGGGGTCTTTCTTCGGCACTAACCAAATGGGTGAGAACATTGCAAGTTCTCAAACGGTGGGAAGATAAAAGGCCTGGTGATCCTGCCCTCTTGAATCTCCTTTTGTAGCTTCGCTTTGACTATTGCGGGCTGTGATGAGACTGACCGGAGGCAGCCCGAGTCCCCATGAATCTGGGACCCATGTACTCCAGAGAAAATCCCTTGAAAAACCCCTGAATCAAAACTTCTTTGTCAACCTCATTATCATACTGGCTAAGTAAGGTTTGCAATACCGAAGCTTAACTGGAGTTGGAAGAACAAAAACTATGCTTTGGCCGTGTGTGTTTGGGCGTCCCTTGGGATTCCTCAATACCTGCATGGCTTAAAAAATTTGGCGCGTGGCACACCGATGATGCTTCCCATACATGTATACCTCAACTGCATGATAGTGCCACACACACTGCGAACCGCACATGGCTACTCTGCGCCGATTTTGCAGGATAGCCCTTTGGGTCACTCATCATTGACCTTTCTGTTGAGTATAATAAATTTTACCTGCTATGCGGTAAAATGTGTTAGTTGAGAAATGTTTTCTTGTTTGGTTAAATTGGAAACATTGTCTCGACTAATATTTAGAAACTACATTTAAAAAAGTCTTTCCTTTCCTTTTAAGAAAAAAATCTTTGTCAACAAAAATAAGTTCTTGTACCATCCAAGAGAAACACTGCAGACGGGGAGAAACCCACCAAAAACTTCTTAAATAAACAAGAAAAATTTTCTTCATTCAAGAAAAGAAAACACCTTTTCTTGTGTCACTCCCTGGAAAGTTTCACCAAAAAATATTTTGGCAGATTTTCTTGATACAAAAAAAAAAAACTAAATAAATAAATCTTATACCATGTACATGTGTTAAGCCCAGCAGAACACCTATTCATTACCATTCATAAACACGTTTTTCAGTCAGAGAGCCAAGAGATGTCAATATATGATGGATTTCCAATGATTGTGTTCTAGAATTTGACCTTCATTTTTCCAAACATTCCTGTTAATTTATGGTATATTCCTTGTGAAAGTTGTCCAAAAGAATCTTGTTACATGTTACTATAACCATGCCTTGATGGGAATCTGCATGAGTAAAGTCTGTAATCATCTGTTATATGTCTGTCGAGTGCATCTCAACGTTCATTCTTTATAGCTTTGTCTATTCCAAGGAAAATGAAGGATCCAAAAATAAGACACTAAGAAACAGGGTTATAGTATAAAGCACTTCTGTACATTCATCTGTACATTTTTCGCCAAGATAGATATTTAAACTTTCAAATTAACAAAGACACACAAAAACAAAACAAAACAAAAAAATGGTACCAAAATGTATTAATATATAGTTTCACAGCAGGAAAAGTTTCAGGACTTACCTTGGAGATTTAGATTCACTGGAAACTGCAACATCACTTGGATTCTAAAAAAGAGTATTTAACTTACTGTAAGCATTTGATTTGAAATAATCATGTAGGTATTTTCTTAGTTTAAATTTCAATTTTGAGTAATACTAATCATGGGCTTCGCCCTTACCCAACATACATTCATAAACACTGAATGCTCAGTGTTAGTTTGAGAGCTTGCAAAAAAAATTCACAAGCTTACTTTTGCAAGCTCTGGACAAGCACTGAGTATACAGTGTTTATGAATATACATCAGGTAAGGGAAAAACCTGTAATTAAAATTAGCATCTCCCTGATGCAAAAAGGGAATCTCGAAAATTATGAATGATTTGTACATGTAGCTTCAATATTAACTTGCCAATAAACACAACTTCTTTCTAAATTCTTCAAATCAAGAATTTCAACCAAACTCCATTGTCAGTCGAACAGATTTTTTTTAACATTCACTGTGCACATGACATCTGCAGGATACCCAATACTGCATTTGAAATTTACTAAATATATTAATTCTAACATTATGTATTCAAGATCTGTCAAAGTTTTAAAGACTGATCAAACAAAAACACATCTACATGTTGGTTACATAATGATTTACACAAAACTCAAACTTCAAGTTTCCCTAAGAAAACTGAGTTGATATCAGAATTTGCATAAAGTTGATGGGTTGAAACTGATCAGAAGAAAAATTTATTTGAATTTCTCTCCCATTTCACTTCTGGCCTGATTATGCTATTCTTTTAAAACCCACAATATAATTTGAATTGACTAAATTGATAATTAAGACTCTTAATTCCAAATTGCGTATTTATAACTGTCCTTAAGTAGCTGCTAAAGAATGTCCCTTGAAAGGATTTTGTTTTGATGACTACTGTTATGCAAAATCCTTTTAAACACTTTAAATTAATTTTGTGGGCAGTAATCAAATGCTTCCTGATTCTCTTGATTTCACAAGAAACTATATCATAACACATGCAATGTACATGCACATAGTAAAATGGTTTAAGATAGGATGAGATCTAAGTGTCTTTTACATACGCTGTTCCTCACTTCACGTAAACACCTTGAATTTTTCATTCTTACAGGATGTATGATTCAGCAGTCATTTAGTTTGCGCACCAATTCCATTTAATGCCAATACAGAATAAAGATGGCTACCAAACAGCCACATTTTCAAACTCAGAATGAATTGGGTGCCATCAGTTCTGAATTACCTTCCTTCTTTCCTTTTTGTGACTTGTAATAACTTAAGCCCCTCAAATTTACTTGGTGAAATGATCAGTTTGACATGATAAATATTTCTGTTTCTTATTTTGATTTCAATCCATGCCATTCACTTTGAAAGGGACTGACATAAATGCAAAAGGGCTTGCTTTTGTGGGGAAAATTTCTCCATTTTTCTGAGCCTATCACAATATAGGTATGTTTTTGAAGGAAATAAACAAGAGGTTAAAATCAATCTCATGTGGGCACAAAGCCCTGTTAAGGAGACACATAAGTTTTTATTTCATATGCTTTCAACATGTCTAAGGACTTTGACCAGTTGGCTGCCTTTGGCCAACATGTACAGAGCCCTGTGGCGTATTTCAATTTCTTGCTCAAAGATGAGTAGATCAAGACAATGCTTGAAATAAGCAGTTTCACAGTAACATGCGCAATCTTGTCTTCAGGGTAAAACGAACATGCGTTCCTAATAAATACAGGAATAGAATGAACGCATACTGACTTGGACACGCAGAAGTTTTCAATTGACAAGCATGCTCAACAATGCTTTTTCTTTTTGCCCTGTGAACAAGATGGCACACATTACCGTGAAACTGCGTGTTGCACAATTTTGACAGGTGTATGGTAATGTGTTATGCAAACAGCCAATATCTGTAGCAGTCATGAAAACACCGAGACTTCCTTCCCCATGTTCTTCCTTGTACTTGGGCACATAGGGGTAGCCACAAACCCGGCAATATGGGCCATAGTTCTTGGGATGTGCAATTCGTGGTCTACATAATCATCCACATGCAGTGACAAAGTGGAGTTGCCAATGTTGAGTCAAAGTCCAAGTCGCAAGTCACAAGCCTCAAGTCCAAGTTGCAAGCCTCAAGTCCAAGTCCAAGTCGCAAGTTACAAGCCTCAAGTCCAAGTCGCAAGTCACAAACCTCAAGTCCAAGTCAAAAGTCACAAACCTCAAGTCTGAGTCACAAGTCACTTGTTTAAAGTTATTCACCACTTCGGCGGGTTTTTGGCTAGAATTCTGTGGGTTTTGCTTGTCATACTTCTTTTTCTTCAGATTACTCAATCACCTTCCAAAGAGCTATGATTCATAACAATGGAAATGTTAGCTTTATTTATCAGAAAAGAATCCGCAATATAAAGTTTAACCACATACAGGTACATGTATGATGCCAGATAGTGTCCACCTTGTATTACATGCAGCTTGATGGACCATATTGCTATACAGTGTGCATACAGAGGAGTTGAAGCAGGCACTCCTTGGCAGCAGACACTTTTTGGCATGACAATTTATGGCCTGGTGCATATGTGCCCACACGTAGCCACGGATGCTGCATAGCATTTCTGCAGCCCTGCATCAGTTTCTTTAAGAAGAAATGTTACATTTGGTTCACAAATTTGTAAAGTTGAGTCAGAGTCAGGAAAAAGTGATGCAAGTCCAAGTCCTGGACTTGAATCCTACAACACTGTCCAGATATCACTTTCAGGGTCCAATGAGAGTCCAGTACACATTTTAACTTGCAAAGCAGTTTGCTTGTACTGTTTAACCA